GGGATTTATTCAACTTATATATTCTTTAAATTATTAAATAAACATGAAAAGTAGTTGAACAAAGTAACATTTGAAAATTTTTGGATTGAACTGAACAACATCAAGAACATGTATACACTTGCAACAAAATAAAACGTTTAGGGACTTAGTTGTCTAAATTTAAAACTAATGGACTAAATTGCTCAATCACAAAACTTTTGCGTGAAATTGAAATAATAAAAAGACAATTTTAATTTTAAAACTTTGACTTTAATTAAAACTTTAATTAAAGAAAATAGAAAATTTACAATTAATTAATTATAATAATTAATTTAATATTAATTAAAATTAATTAATCACATTTATTATCATTTAATCAAAATAATTAGATAAATTTAATTATTTTAATTAAAACCAATAAATATTAATTATAATAATTAATTTTTTATTATTAATTATTTGTATTTTTTTATATCTTTTAGTGATTAATCCATTTGACATTTGACTATTTGAGCGGATCAGATTGATCCGACCAAGAAAGATAACCAGATTGCAAAAACATAACCAGATGGTAGAAATGGGTAAAAACTGATCAAATCCAAACAAAAAATGAAAAGGGAAATTAGGGTTTTATTCTGGCAAAAATGAATTTCAAGCTATAACTCAACAAAACAGCAGTTCAAACTCAAGATTCCAGAACCCAGCCACTAAAACAAAAACTTCAAAGACGAAAAACACCCAAGGCGGAACTTTCTGGAGAAAAGCAGATCGGGATCAGAAGGGAGGGATCCCTCCCACAGGACCTGCTCCGTCCATCTGCTTCACCATCGTCTCCGAAAGCCCCTCCGTTCTAGAAGAATCTCAAATCCCATTTTTTCTGTGTGGCTGTTCTGTTTTTTTGTGTGTGCCGCGGTTCCTCTTAAAATCAGAAGAAGCGGGAATCCCTTCCCTCTTCAATGGCATTTTGGTGATGGTGGTCAGCAAAGACGGTGAGATGGAAAGACGGGGATGAAGGGAGGCTGAGAACTGAGAGAAGACTCGGGTTTTTTATTTTTTATTTTTTTGGCTACCCAAACCCCTTTCTTGAGAGGCTGTTTTTCTTTCAAAATACCAGGCATTACGGTGGAAGGAGTTGGGTTACTTAAATAACATCTTAAGTTTGGATATTATAAATGAAGAATAAAAAGTTGGGAGCAACTTTTTAATAAGATTCGATTTATCTTAATTTTAAATTAATTAAAATTTAATGTGATTACTAAATATAACATGTTAATAAAAAAAAAATCAGGCGTCAAGTTTTTTTGGCTGAGGACTTGGGCTGGGTTCGTCAATTGGGTGGGCTTGCAGGCTTTTAACATCCTTTTGGAATAGGACCAGGCCCAATATGTAATATAAATAATATATTTTATATTTTATATATTTTTAAGATAGTAAAAAAAAATAAAAATTAAAGCACTAAGAAACATTCGCAAACTA